ATTCATACTAGGTCGACTGCATGAAGGTTGCGTTCATACTTCGCATCAGCGTTTTCAGCATGCGCCAGTAATTCCAGCGACTGGAAAAGTATAGAAATCGATCTAACGTTCTAAGAGTTCGACAGCGTTTCCAGCGACTGCTTGCGACACTTTAAACTACCCGCAGAAACGCTCAAAACGCTAAACCCATATCGATACTTTTCTAGTCGTTCGAAACGCTGCCGTACGCTGGCATACGCTCGAAATGCTGGACCAATGCCTATACTTTCCTTGTCGCTCGGGACGCAGCCGCACCCTCAAAACGCTCACGCAAAGAATGAACGCAGCCTAAAGATTGCACCTATTGAAGTATTCATCAAAAGCTACGATCGAGAAAAGGAGAGCGAACGAAAAAACAATTACAACTGTCAGTATTTTAGTAGGAAAAACAATTCTAATGGCTGTATAGAAGTATAAAGACCGAGCATATGGACTAATGGTCAGTACAAAAAGCACGTGTTTAAAATTAGACACACGCGCATTGACACTTCAAGTATAACTTGCCTGGGCCGGTCGCAGCAGTGCTGACTGATCGCAGCAAAACTGCAGCAAGTGCTCAAATCAGTACCCTACAGCCTCTCCAGTGCAAGTTTCTCTTGCATGAGAGCCGACCCACGGAAGTTATACGTCGCTGTACATATGCCGCACACCATTCAGTAGTAGGCCATTATGCCCGCTTATACTGATCACTTGTCTCCATATAAGTTTACTCGGAGCATCGATCCATAATGTGCACTGTATTGCAGTCCAGGCTCAAAACTCGGATCATTGTCATTTCGTGATTATATTCGTGGGAAAATTCTGCACTGAACGTCACAATAATTCTTAGTTTTCCACAACGCTAAGGTTTCCGGAAGCGGATCACAAAGTAGGACTACAAGTTCCGTACACATGTAGTTCATTGCTCTTTATTTGCATTAGAAGAACACGTGCTAAAAGTTCATGCGCACTGCCCATGACAAAGAATGTTCTACACTTACAATGCCTTGAGATCTAAATTCGACGTTAACTGACTTCGTTTTCGTCTCACTGCACCTCTATCAGGAATTCAGCATGGCAGTCATAAGCGGAAAGAAACAGACATATGATAGTGTAGCAGTCTTCTAATAGTCTATTTCCGACCTATAGCGCTGTCAGTTGGTACCCAAATGTACAAACTCCTGCATTCTCTGCAATCATTGTCATGTACATGCAGGTTTCTAATTCGGTTGGTACCTCGACAGTGTTATGGGTCGAAAAGAGAGGTGGCAGAAATTCGTTTATAAAAATATAGTAAAAAATAATAATAATACTCATACTTCAAGGTTTGGCGGCTCTGATGGTGAAATTTGGCACCCCTGAATGATCAGAATGACCAGATCGCTAACGCTGTGAGAGCGATCAAATTGCGGCACACAAGAGCGCTTTCAGTACGACGTGACTGTTAACTCCCCTAGCAAATGATTAGGCAAATCAAGAAAATGCAACCCTCAGCAATTTGAGCACAAATTGAGCAGTATATGCTAAGATGAGAGAGCGAGACAAGATGCGGAACACTTTGCGGTTACGTTACTATAAACTCCTGTATTTTCGCATGAACTTCGCATGAAGCCAGAACCAAGTCATTAATCGCAAAATCTGGTGACGAGGTTTGGGTTTTCTCAGGGACACTGCCCAACCTTCGCATGAAGCCAGAACCAAGTAATCGTAGCAAGACACCTTAGTGGTCATCAGGCATCTACTAACGATTTATACAACTTACCAGTCGGATCGCCCGGCTGACGCCGAGCTCCTCCTTCTCTTTAGCTCGGCTTCGCCGAGCTGGCCTGGCTTCGCCAGGCGCGCTCCATAATTTTAACGGAACTTTTCAATAGTGGGCTGCTCATACGGCGCTGTAGTGATCGAATCGTAACAGATAGAGCAAGGCTTAGGATCCTGCACTGTTCGTTCTTTCATAATAAGGTCTACTGCGTGAGCCGCCTAGAAAGAACCCCCAAACGGTGTAAAAAAAGAAGCGGTTGCCCTAGAAGATGGGTGCATTTAGCGAAATAAAGAAAGCATTCAGGGTGCCTTCCATCCATTCCTTAAAATAGCGTTGACAAAGAGATACTGAAAACCGCAATTTTGTTAGTTCGCATCGAACTACTCTAACAAAGCCCCCTTCTTGTAAAAGATGTAGAAGGAACTCGAAATGGAAATGGGCGTTTCACGTGTTTTTGGCCTTACGAGAATGCGTGGTGCAACATTTCCTTAATGTGAACAAACGTTTTCACGTCTAAAAATGTCTAAAAACGTTTCAAGCCAAGGTCGATTACTCCCTTTACCTCCTCCCACGAATTTTTAGGATAGCTTCCCCATAACTATGCGCAAGAAACCCGCCACCTGTACAGAAACAACGGCACCCAGTCTACCTTCATCCGCAAGCCCACTCCATAAATTTCAGTCCAGCAAACGAATGAAAAAAGTTCACAGAAAAAACGAATGAAAAAAGTTCAAAGAAAACAAGATAAGGGAAAATAAATAGCAGATAAAGTACATAATTCTGACTTCCTCGTGAAACACATCAGCGGAAAATTTGAAATGAACATGAGGGTGTCACAGTGATACCGAGAACACCACATAGATGATTAAAAATAACAGATAATATCACGTTACACCAAGTAAATATCTGCTGCAGCGAACTTTGAATTTCACATTGAGGCTGTTCTTCTTAATTTTAACGATTTTAGCATCCTTCCTTCGTGCCAGCACCAAGAAATCCTTTATCTCAGTAATCTTGCTTGGGCATCTTGATAAATCACCTGAACATGACAATGTAAAACTATAATAAACATTGATAGCGCAACAGGCACGATCTTAAAGCGGCTGAGGAAACAAAACAACCAAGTTTTAGCGAAGATTGATAGAGAAGAATGGAAAGAAGAATAATTAGGGAGATCTCTAGTGATTCTTTTTCAACAATATGGCTTCGAATTTGCTCACAGGAACAACGGGCACATCGCAGCCCCATCCACAAATTCAGAATTAAGGAAACATTCATTTGTTATGTGAGCGATCTCAACTCTACAAACGATACTAAAAGTATTAACATAGAACAACATCTAGATAACCATGCTGAAAGCCAAAAAAGTATCCTTAGGCCAAGCAACGGAAAATCGCTTCGTGCCGGCTGAATACGGTAAGCTATCGTCGAGACCTCTTCGATCCCGGCCCTTTAAGAAAGACGGCCGTGCAATTGGAGCGTGGAAACTCTCCTGCTGGGTGCTCGCCGCAGTCCCCTTGTTATAAAAAGTCAGCAAATGAAAACCTTACCATTTAGAAGACTCTCAACAAAAGAGAAAGAGGGATTATTGTTGCAAAGGAAACACTCTCGTAATTGAGGTGGTTCGTTTGCCAAGAACGAATAAGGGATGGTTGTTGGCAAGGTCACATGTAAGTCCTCAGGCTCCGAAAAACCCCATATCTAAATGCTGACCTTTCTGGAATGATTCAGTACGTTCAAGAACCCAGATTTGGTGCGATGAGCTCGTTTTACACATTATGGAAAGGTAGAGTCCTAGCGTGGGTTTTCTTTGAGTGGGCTTATTGTCAGATGAGGCGTAAGTCAAATTTTTAGAAATTCCTGCAGCCAGATGGTCAATGATGTGTAAGGGATCAGTCAAGAGTTCCGGTGATCTACTCTGCCACAGTTTACAAAAGATGCGTCAGCATACACGAACTTCTCACTGAAATTCCCGAAACCAACCTCTGCATTTAGTTTTACCGTAGTCGTACCTCCATTTCATCGTATAGTATCCCTCTTTCACCCCTGTGCTCTAGCTCTAGTCATTGTTGTGCCTCAGTCGAGGGCCTTTACTGTGACTTCGTTTGGTACCACTAGACAGAGTCGGTTTGTTTCCCTCTAAGGCCACGTTCATAGCTTGCGTTCGTGAAGAAATGCAGAAATGCGGAAAATGCAGAAGTGCGGAATCTGCAGAAAAGCAATAGATACTTATCGACTTGAAGAAATGCAGAAATGCCGAAACTGCAGAAGTGCGGAAAGTGCAGAAATGACGAAAAGCATTACATACGTATCGATTTGAAGAAATGCCGAAAGTGAAGAAGTGCGGAATCTGCAGAAATGCCGAAAGTGCGGAATGTGCAGAAAAGCAACCGATACGTATCGATTTTCCACACTTTCGGCATTTCTGCAGATTCCGCACTTCCTTTTCGGCATTTCTGCATTTCTTCAATCGATACGCTTATTCTATTGCTGTTCATGGGCAGATATCCGGCACTTCACTTTCGCAATTTCTGCATTTACCTTCAAATCGATATTACGTAATCCTACATTGCTTTTCGTGCGCAAATTGCGCGCACTTCTGCATTTATCGCGCATTTCTGCTATTTCTTCAAATCGATACGGGTATTTCTATTGCTTTCTGCGGAGATTCGCGCATTTCTTCACGTTTCGGCATTTCCTCGCCATTACTCAAGTCGGTAGTTATCTAATTTGCTTTTCTAGGCCAAATTCCGCACTTCTGGCATTTTCGCATTTCTTGCAAATTTCTTCACGAACGCCAGCTATGACGCGGGCCTAGCTTCGCTAAGGCCCGCGTTGCCATACATGATGCAGAATGCCGAACGCACGGACTTGCATGTAAGAAGACCATGCTTCAATTCACTAGAAAATGGAAGAAAAACTTTCTTGGAAATCTTTCTACATTCCTTACAGTGACTGACATCTGGAAAGTGACTACACACACTGGAGATTGAAAGTGGGTTCACTTCGCTCTTGAAATGGGTGATCTTGTTAACTGAGTGGCATGCATATCATGGCCAACACTGTGCGAAACATGTTAAACGTCTTCTATATTGGAACCTCTAGCAGAGGCGGGGGCGCGCGCAAAAAGCCATTCCGGCCGAGTCACATATGAGCGAAGTTTTCGCAGCCCAGACAGAGGAAGTGGATATGAGTACCAGGGCGGAAGATACCCAAGATCTTCCTCTATAAGCAGGAGCCGCTGCCGCCATTCACCCTTCACGTACACCAAAATATGAAGTCATCTCCAGTCGCGGCCTGAGTGGAGAACGCCTTTGGAATTCACGTGGCCTCCAAACAGCTGCGGAACTTCTTGAATGGAATCACCCATGGATAGCTACCTGGAGACCAGTACTCTTGATCTGCAAGACCTCAAACATCGAGCAGCTCCGGCAACGTCGCTACGGTCCAGGACATCATCTTCACCCCATTCACCAAGGCGGGTGTGTGGACGGCCGTATCCTAGGAATGGATGAATCGCGATAATTTCTTCGTGGGCCCCAGACTGAGGGTGTGCGCTGGTGGGCTACATCGAGCAACTCGAGGAGAATATCCCATCTTCATGTCGTCGCCCGTACCTTCTTGGAAACTTTGTACTGCTACAGGATTGGGTGACAACACATTTAATCGAAGGGCGTTGACTTTCGCCTACTTGGAATGGAAGAACGTTGAGTACCTGGAAAAGATGGAGTATTCAAGCGGGGTCCTGAACTAAACCCCCTCAATTACTCGGTTCGGGCGGAGCTCAACAGGGTGGTCTACAGTGGCGGAGAAATCAACGATGGCTCGCTCAAACATCCGGTACGGCCCTTCACTCTTCCGCAGCGGACCCGAATCTCTCGGATGGCGCTTCTCCAGAAGGCTGTGGAGAGTAGCCATTATAGGTATGTTAATTGTGCTCTTTAATATGGTAGTAAAAATGTTCCGATAAAAATTTAATAAAGTGTAACTTATAGCGCCTTGAAAGTCATGGAGGCAAAATGACTTTTTTTGCCCCCCCCCCCCTCTGGTATTTTGCTTTTCTTCGCAAACTTCGTCAGCACCGGCGCACTTGATTTTGCGATTGTGCCAAGCTTAAAGGCGCTCTTCATTACCTGCAGTGGTTTGTGCGATCGTATCAGGCGGCGCCTGCAGCGTCTTCAAGGTAAGTCGTGCGCGCGGACCGTGCGCCGGATGGCTGCTAGTGCGATTTTGCCTGTTTTCCTTAACGTCACTCTAGAGAACGCCGCGTTACTCTAAGTGGCGATACAGTCAGTTTGAGACAACCGCTATGTTCTTCTATGATAGATGTTGACATGATCACGACTGCTCCAAAATGAAAATATTTCACAAAAATCTTCGCCGCAACCATTTTGAAATTAAGTACGCCGCCACCACGCCACCCGATCTCAGGGATCTCAAGTATAGAAGAGATCAAACGATGGTTAACGTGATATTCGCTCACTCACTTCAACGGGAATGCGTGGCTTGGAGAAATGCCCAAGGTTTCTAATTCTCATAGCTTCTCCCATCAAAAAGCCATTATCAAATATCTCCTGAGGCGTGGGTGGTATGGTGCCGAGTGGCACTCTTACCACGCGTGGTATCATGGAGTTTCTGGCCGTATCGGCTTCTCCCCTTACCAATGTAGCCTTCTTACCTCCGGAGATGGCAAGCTGGTGTCAGATTCATGTGGGAGGATACAAACACTGACCTGCAATGTTTGCCTCAGATAGGCATCAACTTACTGTTAGCCACATTAGGCATGCTCGTCCAGGGAAAACTCTAGTCGTCGTGCCTCACATCCTGAAAGAATTTTCGACTGGGCAGCAGTGTGGCATCTCTATATATGTCGTCTTCAGGCTCCAAGTCCTGACCTGCTCATGTTTGTTGCCCATTTTTCTACTTTGCATAGTGTGGACATACATTTACTTAATGTTGGCCAAGTTGGTCTGCTGATGATAGGGGCTTCAGCAAGAATGGTTCTGCTAAAAAATAGGGACATCAAACCAGCCCTCCACCCCTTTACCAGTAGAGTTTTCGCTGGAATTACATGCCTAATGTGACTAATAGTAATCTGTTGTAGCCTATTTAAGGATTATTTGATTATTTTTAGAATAAAAAAAACGTTCACCGTAGGAAAGGAGGATACAGCGAAAATGAGCCTGTGCTGCTTTGGATTTGTCAGTCGAGTATATTAGATTGAGCAATCCATAAATATGTACCTTTGGCATGTTCACATCTAACTGGCTGAGGATGGAAATCGAATCAATAAATTCTCAGGAAGGCAGATGCATCAGTAAACAGTATTTAACAAGTCTTGACAGCTTAACAGTGCGATCGCGCATCTCGCCTGCGGCCAGTTGCCATCTTGCCCGCGCACTGTGCGGTTGGTGGTTTTCATTGGTTACCATTCATACAATATTGTGTTTGTATCTTTCTCATCATTTCTTCTCTAAATGTGGTTCTAACAAATGATTAAGATTTACTGAAAAGTAAATCTTGTGTACTGTTTGATTGCATTCTTCGCGAGTTAACCTAAACCACACCCAAGTTCTATCGGTGCACTCGAGGAAAGAGGGAATCAGCGGGGTTTCAGTCTGCAATGAGAGTTGAATATGGTTTGCGCTAGAATGGAGAATTCTTTGCCCATCGTTCCCAGTAGTATTTGCTTGAAGAAATAGTATTAAAGCTAGAATGGGGACAGACTGTGGTACGGAATGGGCTCTTAATGAAAATGGGTGAGTGAGAAACTCGCATTAGAAGAATTCTTTTTCCATCTTGGAAGTGGATCATATTGGAAAGCAGAGCTTCAATAACCAGTTCCAGAACGTTTTATATTATTAGTGGTTCTCCATTTGAACTAGGCCCTTTCAGTCCCACATGAAATTGTAAAGCGCGACATTACAATATTGAAGGAATTAGGTGTGAATAAATTGTCTACGTTGTGATCCTCGGGAAAATGGTTAGGATTTCTTTCTTCACTCGCCTGACTGTCTTCCTCAGTGAAGGGTACGATGGCATGATTATCGATTGATGAGCATGCTCACTATGTGTAGGGTTCGAATAATGAGCTGGATGGACTTATTACTCGGATACAGCAGTTCGTGGTCTCCAGCTCATGGAAATGTTTTTTGGACGAAGAAGAAATGGTGCTCAGGCATCATGCAACACGTTCGTTGCCGGACCTCTTCGCACGTTGCCACGTCAGCTCCACACAGGGTACAGCATCGTTGTGCAAACCCATGGGGGGGGGGTCGTACCTGGCCGATGGAGAGGGGGGGGTCGTAATCTCAAGGGTCACTCAGAGCCGAGCAATGGTTCGACATTTCAGTTGATAGTGGGAGTGGAGCTATGGAAGTCAAGATGTTTAAAAAAAATGAAGTTTATTATGAGTGTATTCTTTACAGCTTTAAATGCTACGTTAACAGCCATTGG